AAGTTTTCATACAAAATTTGACAATGACATCTTGGACTCGCGAACGTTACGAATTCGATATTGGTTCGTGCTAAGGGTACGGTTAAATAATGTATGGTCGCAGCGTAGGCCTGCATCGTCCCCTTCACAAGGGTCGATCGCAATCGATGAAGCCTTAAAAACAGCGTTGCCAGATTCTATTTTTGCCAAGTCGGGATTTAGGAACTTTTTGAGTGAAAAAAGCGGGATTCTTTCGTACTGCCCCCTTCCCCACCGCTCGCAAGTTAGGGACAATCAGGCACTTTGCAGACGACGGGGAGGGGCGTGCCAGTCTATTTCGCCGCGAATAATAGCACAAAGTGAATCCTATACTTCAAACGCACACAGAGGGCAAAAAGACCGCGCCGCAGGTGCCCGGCGGGCAGTGGCGGCGTGGCATGTCCGCGGCTGCCCGCCGTGAATCATACAAACCAGTTTATATGCAGTAACGCAGACGGCGGCGCGGGCGGTCAGCTCAGTCCGCGCCACGCGCTTATTAGTGATGGACTATTCACTAGAACGAACGTCCTAAACTGACCGCCTCTGCCCGTCGCGTGTGCTTTGTGTACGCGGCGAGGGCAGACGCGGTCGAAGGGCAGACGCGGTCTTTATTGCTTCGCGGACAAAATGCCCGCCCCGTCGTCTGCTCAACGCCTGAATGTATATTATAAACAATACTTCAAGTGCTTGTACAGCCTACACTGAGAGATATATGGAACAGGGGATTTTACATTGCTCAGATACAGTAATATAAAAATTGACGTGTTTCGTCCTAGAGCCCTTCACATTCGGTGAATCGTACCGTTAGTCCAGTCATTATATACATTTGGAAATGCAAATGAACCGAGAAAGCCAAATTTTGGATATTACGTGGGGGGTGGCTAGAAAAGCTTAAGTTCAAATTGTCGACCAAAAAAACCTTGTGGGTTTTCCGCCATCTTGAAAAAAGGGTTAAACTCAGTTTTTTTATCATAACTCGGTTCCCCGTCGAGATACGAAAATTTTTATGGAATACTTTTTTGTTGCTCTTTGTACGATCTACAATTAAGGTCCTATACATTTTTCGCGTATCGACCATCATTATCGAGATATCGATAAAAAAAGCCACAAATTTTGGGAGAATTTTTTTTTTTCGCTATTTCCTTCTTTCTCGCGAAAAATATCGAAAAATGTTTCGAATAAAACTTGTAGAGCCTGTTCAGACCTACAAATTCGTTTTTTAATTTTTCATTTTCGAGAAAAATTACGACCTCCAGCGCGCCGCAAAGTGAGTAAGACTGTGCCCGGTTTCGATTTAGCCGCTCGCACGGTTGTATCCACAACGTAAAAATTGATGAATTATTGGTTAAGGGAATTATTGGTATTGGTTAAGGGATTTATTGCTATACAAAATAAATGAATAATCCAGCCAAATTATAAATCAAACACATGAAATTTATTAATCAAAAAATGTTTATGCAGCAAAAATAATAATATTACACGTGGTCATTTTTGTCACACGTTTTTCTTCGTTTTGATGGTCCTGGCTGCTGTTGAAGTTCCTCCTCGGTACACTCTTCGAGTCGGGTAAATTCTTCAATCGCAGGAAATGATGCTGTGACGGTCGAAAAATCGTAATCTTCATCATCGTGATCGTCATTGAGTAATATCTCGACTTTGGCGACATTGTCGCATGTCTGTCCACTACAGTGCAGGCAAATAACCGAGCAACTAATTCCTGCTTTCCTGCACCCACAAGCAGCCCCACACTTTCCTTTACATTTGCACGAAATTAGTTTTAAAAGTTCAGGTGGAGCGGGTGCGGCTGTGGTGCAAATTGGCTCAAGCCCGTAATTCGTCTGTCGCCAACCCCATTCCTGAGGATCTTGGAAAATTCCGAGCCACGTTTGAACTTGTAAATATGTCCGGAAAACGTGTTGGCGGACTGCGTTTTCTGTTGGTGGGAGTAGTGAAAGATTATTCGTCTTATTTGTCGTCATAGATTTTGCAAAACGGTGGAATCGCAAAATATCCATCGTCGTGTCCTCTTTACGACCACCATACAGAGCGATAAGGAAGAGCTTTCCTGCGCAAGCTAGCATCTCCGGATCGACCTTTTCTTGCTTGAATAGTTCTACTGTAAGCGCGCTGAAGGTCGTAATTTTTCTCGAAAATGAAAAATTAAAAAACGAATTTGTAGGTCTGAACAGGCTCTACAAGTTTTATTCGAAACATTTTTCGGTATTTTTCGTGAGAAAGAAGGAAAAAGCGAAAAAAAAAATTTCTCCCAAAATTTGTGGCTTTTTTTATCAATATCTCGACAACGATGGTCGAAAAATGTATAGGACCTTAATTGTAGATCGTACAAAGAGTAACAAAAAAGTATTCTATAAAAATTTTCGTATCTCGACGGGGAACCGAGTTATGATAAAAAAACTGAGTTTAACCCTTTTTTCAAGATGGCGGAAAACCCACAAGGTTTTTTTGGTCGACAATTTGAACTTAAGCTTTTCTAGCCACCCCCCACGTAATATCCAAAATTTGGCTTTCTCGGTTCATTTGCATTTCTAACCCGATTTTTCCGACGTAATGACTGGACTACGTTCCGACTTACTACAGCTACAAATTTATCCTTCTAGCTACAACTTGATTTAAGGTCTCGCTGAATCTTTATGTTAACGAAACCTACGTTTTCCACGGTGGGCACACACAATATTCTCAACTATTTATGCCGTTTCAAAATTTCTAACACTTTGGGCGTAATCGTGCTAAGTTGTTTCAGCAAGAGTCATATTTCTAAGATCTGAATATATTAGATCGATTCTAAGATAAAGGAAATTCGAAAAATGGTGTAAAATATAGTAAGCTTTTTAATACCACTTTGAATTATGATAATAACACTGATTTCTGTGTGGTTGTGCTAGGAAGTATACTTCTCAGCACGACCATCTTATCTCCTATATCGTTGGTAGACATTTTCAGAACAGGTAATAATAGTAAAGTCTGTGCGGAAAGAGAGTGGGATTTAGATTGGAGGGCGCTGCAGTGCTTTCCTACCGTATTTGTAAGGTTTTACCCCTTTTAGACATGATTAAATACAAAAAACCGCAAGAAATCCCAACAACAAACAAATCCGTATCAATACAAAACTTGGCGTTTTACAGATTGCTGGGTTTGATTGCCAAATAAAAATCTTAATGTTAGTTCAGTTTTTCGCCACGCCCATTCTCTTTTCGCACAGACTACGTTTATTTTTTACCATCTAAAGATATTAGAAAATAATCCATGGTCATGGGCAGGAAGTACAACACACTTTGTGATTGGTTTTGTAGTGATTAATGATAAGATTTAGTAAGTAGTTGAAAAAAAAAAAGTTTTTTCATAAAAAGTTTATTTACATAACATACATAGTAACTGACAAGAGTAGTTAAAGTAAGAAAAATAAACTCAGTAGCGGAGACAAAGAAATAAACGGGTGAAGTCAATGCACTTTCCTCACCGAGTGGCCTCTGCACGGCGGATTTGAGACGATCGTCACTGCTTACTGAGACGCTATAATATAATTAAAACTAAACAATAAAATATTTATAAAATCAAAGACTTGCAATTTCAAAAGATGTACTTAAATGTGTGCAAGTAGGAAATAAATTTGATGAACCATCATAATCATTGGATATCCCTCAAGATAAACATGGGAGTAACATTAAACTTAACTGCAGTTTTTGCATCCAGCGTGCAATTAGTTTTTTTTTACATTTAGATTACTTTATCAGTTCGAAATTAGCTGTCTATACTATTTAAATGAAAACAAATTGATATACATATTACAATAATATAAAATCTTTTAACATCTTTCACTGAACTTCATAACTTCGTCCGTATTATATTATGTATAGTATAGTAATAATCGTTTACAGTCTTTCATATAAAGTGCGAATGGCAGGTCCACGTTATAATAATTGGGGGAAAATTGTCAGCGTAACAATTTCGACCAGTCGCAAGATGGTAAAACCATCTGATTCTACACAATAATCACACATTATTATTTTATTTTCCCCATAACTATCTTAAGCATTTTTGTAGGTACATATTTCTGTAACATAATTATTACTAGGTATAATATATTACTATGTAAAAAAGGAGCAGTTACATTAATTGATATCGGTAAGACTTTGTTGGGATACTCTATTTTAATCAGTTGTTCCAACTTGCATATTACGCACATTAAATATTTTCTTAATTTCATACCAATTTCTTCACAACACAAATTTAAACCCACAACGCTTTCGTTTAATGTAAATACGCCTTAATTTTTGTTACAAGCATCAACCAGAGCATGTTTGTCTTAAATAGTTATTGCTTAATATATGACGATGTATTCTCTGATTGCCGTAATTTTAATATTTTTTATTTTTAGATAATTTAACAAAATATATCATCATCCCGACTACCCAAAATAAATAATAAAAAATAAAGATCATTTCTAAAAGAAACCAGCTTCAAGCGAGATTAGCAAAGCACAAAGACGAATAAATAAAGGAAAATGTCGTCTATATAATATTGCAATAGTAGAATTATAGTACACATATAATAATATCATTAAAAATTGTTGCGACCAGAGAACACACCAGTTTTTCGGCTTTCATGATATCCATAACCTAGATAATAACCGAAAATAAAATTCGTAAAACGATATTGGAAAATAATTACCTACATAATTGTGATTTCAAATTTAATAATAATGTACCTAATAATAAACATAAACAATTTATGTCGCGGCACACGCAATGTCGAACAATTATAAAACGTTCATAATGTTATATAAAATACGATACGAAGTTACGCATTAAATTTGCAGCAAATTCAATTTAGAACCTTGATAAATAACTATCACTTTAAAAATATTATACAACTTTTCTCTAGCTTCTGTTAGGTTAAGCATTATCATAATAATAATATAAACCTATGAGTTCCATTTAGGTGATTCTAATATATAAAAATATAGAAGACATTGTAAGCGGGTGCTTCGGGGGCGGCCGGCCGGCTCGACCGGGCGGGAGGCGCGGGCGCGGGCGCTGCCGCGAGCGCGTCTGGAGGCGCGCGTCAGTCTTCGCTACACGAGTCCTCGTTGTCCGCCTCCCGGATGTTTGTAAAGAACGACGTCAGCGCCTTCATCATTACACCTGCAACCACATTTCAACCCTCACTAGTAGTAGTAGCACAGTGTATAACCGCCGCGGTCATGCAGTCAGTTCAGAACAAGTTAATGTAATGTAATGGTCTCAAGGCTTTCGAGGTGATACCCGTCAAAGCTAGATCCGCCTTTCTCCTACGCAATGTCTGTTTGTTACACGAGGAACTTTTCGAATATTTGCCTTTTCAACAGCTTTTCTATACTTTGGAAGGAAGGACTTCATATTATAAATCGAGTTTATATGACAAGTAAATGAAACTATTATAACTATTGTAGTAAAGAGTCATGCTATAAAAGGCGTGTAAACAAGATGAATTGGCAAAATTAAGGTTAAATATAATTTGTTGCCAATCAAGAAATGACAAACAGATATTGAATACATATCCTTTCTAATTAATATGTTCATTAACTTTGCATTAAATACAATAAGATGTCTCTCAACTTATATCTAATATAGCTATGCGATACTAAAACAAAATCATAAATCATACCTTTGCCTTCTGGTTCCAAATCAGATTCTTCCCATGCAATAAATCCCTCTACAGTTATTATATATTGTTCATGTAAATATTGGAATATATCTAATGTTAAACCTGAAACATAACATGAGATTAAAAATACGATCCTATTTCATAAATAATTCCATAATATTTGAAAATAAGCTCACCTTGTGGATGTTCTAGCCTATGTATTAACTGTTGTATACCAAACAAACAGTGAGCTTCCCTAGCCTGTTTCGTTTCACCAAACTCATTGATAAGTCCAGCATATTTATTCATTCGTTCCTGATTGAAACGCGGTATGTCGCGTCCTTCTGCTCCAAATAGAGCGTGTTCACAGATTGCTTGACTCAATGCTCGCATAAACCAATCTTCATTTGAAGATTTACCCAGATGATCCTGTACAGACACATGGTAATAAAATGAATATATATTTTTATAAACGCATTCTAATTAAAAATTATATAAGTACAACAGTGGCGAACAAACCTGTACCCATCCCTTAATACACTCACAACTCTCATCAGAGTTCATAAGTTGCAGGAGCTTTTTCTGAGCTTCGGCCGGTGTCAATATTTTTTTCGTTTCTTCAAAGTCCCTGGAACCACCATCCAAGAACTGGAATTTATTTTCTTCTACCCATTTGGCAACCTAAAAATGTTACATGGGGATGTTATTCACAATATGCAAGATACACTTAATGTAAAATTATAGAAACTGTATTTTGTACTTTTAAATCCATCTAGAATTTGATGTATAACTTTACCTGGTTTTCATCCATCCAATCTTTTAATTGCAGCTCAGACTCTTGCCATTTACTTTTCACAAAAGTCGGACCCATGCTTTCCTTCAAATCCTTTATAATGGCTTTCAGCAATAAATGTCCATGATTATTTTCTATAATATTTTGTGACAGCCTAAATGTTTGCTTGAATGTGATATGCTAAATAAACAAATATATATCGATAAATAAGGTAAGAGTGCCACAAAAAGTATAACCAAACTTACTTTAATTAATGAAAGTCCCACTCACCTTCTTTTCAATTTGTGGAGCAATAAACTTTCCTAAATATTCATACAACATTGGAATATCAATGCACAAATCAGGCGCAAATTCGAAAATCTCCTTCATGCCAGATACAAAATTTTCTGGCGAAATTGTATTGGTGGATACTAAATGTAACACCGATTTGGCTAATAATGAAACCTCCTTCGATGCCCTAAAATCAGAGAAAATATGGTTTTTAGACAAAATGATCTATCTACCTTGACATTGGAAAATCAGTAGCACCACACGTGATTTTGTGATTAGTATTTTCAGTTTATTGGGAATATTCATTCACTATCCCTGGAATAAAAACTTACTTTTCTAAAGCAACATTGAGTATTTCAGTAATTACTGCAGCATGATATTGTGGAGGGAACAGTTGCTTGATGTCAGCAACCATTTCCTCATTGTCACAATTGATGAGACATAGATCAATCGTCGATTTGACAGATTTTTTCTTGGCGTCAGGGAGGGGCTCTTGCGACACGGATACGATTTGTGGCGCGGGCGCTTCTGGCACCGGCGGCGTGACCGGTGCAGCACTTGTACTGCGGCTGCCCGAATTAGAGCGAGCTGCTCTCACTGAACCGGACCGGCTACCATTACCACTATTATTACCTACAACACAAAAAATAATAGTTATTTATGCAACTGTTGTATAATGAGAGGTATTAAAACACGATTCGCCTCGTGTGATAATACACTTTTATGACAATCATCTAGCCCTAAAGTAAGCGTATACAATGGGTGCATATAAACACCCATGAAAGGTAGAAAAATGCATGTGTTCATCACACAAAACATTTGCCACCCTCCAAAATTTAAACCTAGGGCTGCTGGTTTGTAGTTAAGGTCTTAAGGCACTAGTGACTCCACAGTGACAATTAATATTGCACTGTATACAGGGTGAAATTTAATGTTTTAATGAAACTTCGTGGGATTGTTGGGTTACGTATATAGAGTATCTCTGAATTTCTTCGGATTTTTTAAAAATGATTTAAAATATTTTTTTTTTGTTATATTTTAAGTCCTTTCCTCCTTTTGGGTTCTAAATAATTATTCTTTTAAACACGCATACAGAGTAAGTAAAAAACAACTAATTAGCACTACTAAAAAAAACGTAAAAACAAGACGAGCAGCCGGGAGCAATGACCGCTCTCGCCGTTGAATCGGTTGAATACCTACCTATCCGCGGTGCAAAGCGCAGTGTCAAGTTTATCCACCGCGCGTGCGTATCTTTTAAATTTGTGACAAGAGAAGATTTGCAAATAATGCCTTGATTAGTTCTTGTTCTGTGGCCTCAATATAAGAAGTTGGATATGGTGTGTTGTTATTGTAGTGTCACGGAATACTCAGCAGAGCCACCCACAAGGCTTTACGAAAGTAGGTTTGGTGATTGATTGTGTTTACAAAGTGTATACGGGAAGTTAAAGTGAAAAAAATGAATAGGTACATCGGTCTCGGAAGTACTTTTGAATACCTGGTTATAAAAATCATTCTGACCCAAGTATTGAACTGCAATAAGTATTTCTTTTTGTTTAACATTTGCCAATTTCTAATCGTGACAAAATTATTATTAACTTTTAAAGTTTTTCTCTGCTTAAGAGAAGATGACATTTGTGCTTATTATTTCAATAAAGGCATCTAAGACGACTTTATTGTATTGTGTGGAATCAAAGGAGTCAGCTGAACTCTGTGTAGGGACCTACTCACTCAACGGCTGGCGGGCGCGGTCGGTCGTTGACCCGCGGTGGAATTTTAATGTTTTTCCATTTTTTAGAAGTGCTTATTTATTAGTTATTTTTCACTGGATATGTAAGTTTGTTTGTTTAAAATGAATAACTACTCAAAAGGAGGAAAGGACATAAAAATACACAAATTATAAATAAATACATGAAAAAAATATACTTCAAAAAAATCCGAAAAAAATCAGGCATACTCTATACACGTAACCCAACAATCTCACGAAGTTTCATTAAAACATTCAATTTCACCCTATATACAAAGATTCTTATAAAACAGATGATATTTAAAATCTACTATGAGAAATCATCACAACATTACTGTCAGAAAAAAAAAATTTACTTACTAAAATCTGCCCTAGAGTTAAATGTCGATCTCTCAATGGAAGCACCTTTAGAATGGTATGTTGGTGCGATATCTTTGTTTCCTGTAAATTTAATCAGTTATATAGATATTTGTTTCTCATATAGTAACCTTAAGTACTCCTTTTTTTGTATAAAAAATATTACCTCTGAGAGTTGCAGTGTCAGTTTGTACATTTTCTAAGATTTCATACATATTATTTTTAGTAAGACTAATCATAGAATTGCTACCCATTTGAGCAGTATTCTTTGTGCCCGATCCTTGTGTCCATCCAGAGCTTGGAGGGCCTAATTTTATATTATTCAAATTCTGAAAGTCAAAATCCATCAACTAGATTAGTGACTCGCACCGAAAAAAGGCTCATGTCAACTTATGAAAATGCATAATAAGAATGTAAATTATATAACACATGAAGGCAAAAAATATATAAAAAACAATTCCATATTTTATGGTATGAACAATTTTTGTATTGATCTTCTGTTTTTATTTATCAATAATAAAATTAGACATTGTCATACCTTTGGAGTAGCAGCACTCACAGCTTTTAATTTCGAAGTATCTACAGTGTAGCTATTCCTAGGCGTTTTCCAGTTATTTATACTATCCATAAAGGAATTAGCATTTTGTCTGTTACGGCCTTCGCTTCTTTTCCCACGACCTCCTTCGTCGCGTCGGAATCCGCCGCCCATAGGTGCAGCGTTCATCATCTAAACAAAGTTTAATTTATAATCAAAATTCAGAATTATAAACAAATAAATAATGTAATTTTACGCACTTCTATATGACGCTGTTGCTGCTCAGCTTCCCTCTGGATTTGATCCATCGTTTTAGGTTGAGAATCCACAACACCTTTCACAACCCATCTTCTCCTCCTAAGTTCAATGACATCTTGAATCATAAACCTAACCCTGCTGCTAATTTTATTTGTTTTACGATCAACAACAATGTCTTGCATTTTCTTGAACACATTATCAAGCTGATCCCTGACCTCATTTTCAACTTGCTCTCCAATAGTAGTGAGCAATTTGCATAAGCATTCTAATTTTTCTTCTTCTAATTTGTCAATCAAATTATTCATGCAATATACCATGATTTTGGCAGTTAACATTTTCAATTTGTACAATTCACCTGAAACAATCATATTGAATGTATGAAAATGAGATAAGTCATTAATCGCGAGCAATATTTGACAAATTGTTGATAATGGAATATTATTAGGGGATTTGAAATCAATTTCTTTTATTAAGAAGAAGGTCACAGGTCATATAATAAATAGCATTAAGTCAGTGGTTAGTATGCAGGTCGCAGTTTCAGGTACACATTTCAATAAATTGCAACAATATAATAACTAGCAGGACATTCTTTCTGCCTTTCTTGCATATTCATTGCTGAGATACGTAATACATAAGAGAAACGGAATGTTTGGAGTAGCCATTTTTATTTGTTCACTAATAACTGGACATTTGTAAGTATAGTATAGTCATATTTCGCTTTAGCTAGCCACAATGTTTAAAAATATACATAATTGCTTTGCTGGTGGACATATATTAATAGTTCTGCATCTGCTTTACACATTAATTATTAGTTCAGAAAATACTGATTTCGCTATGACTTATCTAATGTGATAGTTGACTTACCAATGAATCTCACGTTTCCAACAGACCTCATTCGGATACGTCTATTCTCTTCATTTAATTGTAGCTGAAGTTCTTTCTTCTTGGCCTAGAAAGTTTAAAATCACTTTAAATTATCAAACATTCATTTCCTAAAATAGTAATCCTTAAAACTTATGGATGTAAAATAGTAAACTTGACATAAAAATATTCACTTACAGGGTCAGTACATTCTCCTAATTCTTTTTCCAGTTTTAGGATATTTTCATCAACTTTATTAGTTTCAAATTGATTCTGACACTTGCTAATAATTAGGGGTCTAAAATTTACACATTGTTCAGGATTTGCTGCATTATCTGCTGGCACCTTTAAAGTTGACAATTTACTACACATAGCAGCATACGCCTCTGAAAAATTAGGTTCATCTATGGCCTTTTCAAACACTAGATCAATAACACCTTCAAGACGTTTTTGATTATTGATTTCCAAATGCTGTACTTTCTTTAACAATGTATCAAACTTCTGTGGTGTCAACTTATTTAATATGCCCCTGAATTGCTTATACACTTCCTGTAATATATAAAAAATAACTTCATTTTGTTATTATGTAAGTGGGATTTGACCAAGTACTTAAACTTGATGACACTAACCTGAGTTTTGCAATCTTCTTCTGTAAGATTGTCTTTCCTGAATCTGGATGGCTTCCATGCAGAATCAACTTGGTTCAATTTAACTTCCTCACGTAACGATAATGACACATGGATCACTTGTTTCTGTGAAGAGCTTCCACTTGGTGCAGATGCAAGCTTAATGCTGCTTTTACCTTAACAAATAAAATAAAAAGTTTAAATATATGAAAAATTAAAGATTAATGTAGTACATAACATATGCAATTCTTACCACTTGGAACCATATTTCTGCCATCCTTTTTAGTGTCACGGGGTGTATTACTCCTAGAACTCATTCCAGGACCTTTGGCAAAGGAAGGAAGGAATAAGGAGTCATTCATAGGTCTAGAAATGGTAGAGAAAGCCATAGTATCTTGCATTGGTGCAGTCTGTAAAAATATAATAGTAGTCATTGTAGTATTGTAATGATTCAATAAAAATAGATTAATGTGTAAAAATTATTTAAAGCATTATAAAACTTACTCTGATAATGTTACATGCTTCTAATAAAGGAACATTGGGTTTGTTCTTTGAAAGTGGATCATCTTTTATTTGCTTCAGCAATCCAATGTCATAACACTTTTTGCCCGTCTTGTTTAGTGGTGACCATTGATCTGGAGAGTAATAATTGATTTAGGATTTACAAGGATTAGAGACCCATAATTAAATCAATATTTTTATCGTAATACTTGCCTTCAGTGTATTTATATTTAGGAACAAATACAGTTGGAGTAGGTGCAGCTTCAGTACTTTCTGCTGAAGTTGGCTTGCTCTCTAATTCTTCTTTCTGGATGACATTTCCCTCCTCTATACTACTTACTTTATCAGTCTCATCTTTACCATTTTCATTTGATTCTGTCTCTTTCAAAGTAGTTTCATTACTAGTCATTTTAGCTGATTTTTTATTCTTACTATTCTTTACAACTTTTTCATTTTTATTGAAATCTTCTTTGGCAGAGTCCAATTTTGCTACATCAGTTGAGTTACCATTGGCAGTGTCTGGATCTACAAAGTAAAGCAACATTTAGAAATAATACAAAAAAATATTTTCACTTAATTAATGAAAATGTAACAGACCTGTTGACTTATTGTTAAGATTAATATCTTTCATCTTAGACTCAGGTTGAATGGTGCGAAGGCAGCTGGCTAAACTTTGAGTTAATTTGGCTTGAGCTTCAATAGCACTATTAGTAGTTTCTTTTGTCTCAGATACTATATCAGGCACAATAGGCTGCTCCTTGGCAACTTTTTCTATGCTAGCAGATAACAACTCTGTAGCAGTTGGTAAGACTGAATCAGGTATTGTTTCACTTTTTACAGTCTCAGTTTTGTGTTCTGTGCTAGATATCTCATCAGTTTCTAGAGTAGGTGATAATTGTTTAGATGTTGATTCCTTGAATTCTGTAGATATGGTTTGACCACTTTGACTAGTTGAGGGGTTGATAATTTCTGGTAAGCTATCAACTGAACTAGTCACTGTAAATAAAAAAAAGACATTCCACCATTTATTCCCTCCAAAAATAAAAGATTGTGCAATTCAACAACAGGGCAATGAGTTCAAAAAATTTAGTGAAACAGTTCTGTGGCCATTTGAGATTATAATTTGTAATTGCTCTGAGATATTTCAATAATTACAATCAAAGTTCTGGTAATTAAATGTGAATTTTTAATTTGATAAAAAGGTCTCGGAGTGCACTTTTGACACGTGATTACTATCTATAAATATTCCTGAAATATTCATAGATTAAATGTCATTACAAAATTTGTTACTAAGAAGGATGCAACGAATAAATTGTGCAGACTAATCCATACTACCAAGGTGACGTACAGGTTAATTCAAGGTTTACGTTACAGACTCTGTGTGAAGTTAGAGTGAATGGTGAATTTATTATACAAAATTACTTTATTCACAGACTAAATAAATTTTATCTCACACAACCCATGTATACTATGAAAATATATTCCAATCCTATCTGTGTACCTACATTTCGTGACATGATCCTAGAATTAGAAAGTGTAGTTTTTCTTGGCATTCTAATGCTGTCTGTGACATAATTTTCGATTTAGTTTAAAATAACATATTTTGTATAAAAATGTTTTTACAAAGTTAATGATATAATATGATGGCATATTATGGCAACTTCGTCACGATAATTTAGAAAATGGAGGTGGCTATGACACCTTGATATTACATTCATGACGCGACAATAAGGAAATTAGTTAATAATATTCACTGAAACATGTAACTTGGGTGTCTAATATAAATCGGAGAAGATGAGGAAATCACAGTGCAGCAGGTTTAAGTATCGCCTAGCACTTTTGAGAACCAAGTTCGAGTTCTATAAATAGAGAGGTGAGGTATTTCCACGTGGGAGTTCTTGCTCACACCGTACCTGATTAAACAGACTTTAAAATGTGGCACTGATTAATATTATATATCACAGTCTTTGAATTCATTAATTTCATAAAGAAACTTTACACTAAAACCATAAAATATGTTAACATAGCAATAAGGTAAAGAAAGTCTATCCAAAAGGTCACTCAAGGATCTAGAATGTCTGATTTTAACACTCGTTGCACTTCAACCACATTACTTAAATAGAACACTTAAATAACGACTAATACAAAAAACGACAAAAAGTGTAAAATTAGTTAATTCCAAAAATTCAAGCTGTTTGAAATTTTTTAAAACGCGGCCATGCTCAGTGTGACTGTGAGTGAAGTAAAATCCGCCATATTGAATCGTTCCATGCGGACAGGCGGCCTGCTGCGAATAGTGTTGTGCGCAAGTACAAAATCGATCGATTTAAACTGCATCGAAATAACTATACGATTAATTTCTATAGAAGCAACATTTATGTGATTTTCTAATAAATAGTATTTAATTGTAAGTTGAATCTGTGATTTTATATATGTATGTCATCGGAATATAATACATTCCGTAAGTTTATTAATTTCCTAGTAAAATTGTCAACTTTCGTAAGAATGTAAACGAGAGATAAATTATACTATCACTATACTATATTACGGGAATATTTTCGTAAATTGATCAATTTACCGAGGTTAGCTGTAAAATAATACGTTAGTTGATGAACAAAAATTTTACATAGAGCTACAAAAGTTTTATAGTGGACATGACCAAAACAGCGAAATCGGAATAGAACAAACAAAAAAATATGTGACCAAGGTATTGACTTGATGTTTTTTGTAGAAAAGGTTTCTTTTAACAGTTTTTTTTTCTGGTTTGGCCCTGGAAATTCAATTAGGCTTATAGGCACTTATACAGTCATCTTGTGTTAAAAAAATATTTGCATACCTCTGTGAGGTAGAATATGCTGAACTTAAACAATGTATTTAGGATATCTGAATGTGAGGTGTACCACATTCCTGCAAATAAAGTCTCGAATCAAATAATCCAGACTAGATAAGACACTTGCACTTTTTACTACAGCATGTAAGTTTAATTATTTATTTGGTAAGTCTGATCGTACCAAAGTCTATGGCAGCAAGCACCGAAGTCGCTAACGGCGACCAATCAGAAAGCTGTGTACCATGAAAATAGTAAATTTAAATGACGTAAAATTAAACTCTGTTCTGGGATTGGTTATAGAACTTAGAATTTTATGTTGATAGGCTTGAAATTTTAAGTTAGTTTATCAATTTACCGCAAGACGTCGTAAATTGATTAATTTACTAAGGTCCCCGTAAGATAATACATTTTACCTCTCATTTATATTCTTACGAAAGATGATAAATTTACTAGGAAATTGATAAACCTACGGAATGTATTATATTCCGGTGACATGTATATGTCGTGGTCATATCGTAGATTTGATCACTTCATGAAATGCTCGAGAATTTCATGAAATGGTCGCATTTCATGAAATCTTTCACTACCTATTGGCCACATCATGATGTGGTTTGGGCAGATCAATGATGAGAAATCGTTTCACGATATGGCCAACTAAACGCGTGGCTACTTCATGAAATGGCAAAAAATATTTGATCGTATTGTAAAGTAGTTACATTAATTACTGGTAGAGGCGCTGCAAACGCTTTGTTTATATATGTATATGGCGGCCGCTGCCGACAATAATATGAAAGTGCATAATTCGTTATTTAATGAGGAAGAAAGTGATAACAAATGGGTTTTCGACGAAACAAATTAAAGAGAGTAGGGTGACTACGCAAAAGAAATCTATGGACTATTACTGGCTGTCCAAATATGACATTTTGGAAACTGCGGTTGAGGTACAAAGTGCGGATGAGAATCAATGCCATACAAAAATATACTGTAAAACTGTACTTCCAGGGCCCAAGAGGTGATACTTGAATTTCTTTTGTAGAAAAGGTCTTTTAATAGTTTTTTTTCTGGCGCTTCGCCGGCCGCTGCCGCGGCACGCTCGCTTTGCTCGCTCGGCTCGCGCGTTATGGTCACAATACTAACCTAACCTAGTCTGAAGTATTACCGTTTGGGCCCAGGAAGAACAGTTAAGCCTACTATTGTAATATGTACCAAAGTAAATTATTATTTCTAAATATTTGATAGTTTTCTAAATATAAATGTGTAAGTTCTTGACATGTTTGATGTTTAATTTAGGAAAAAAAACTTTAATTTGTTTATTTTGTTACAAAAATTTGATTAATTTGTTTGTGTCATTCGGACTTAAATAACAATAAACAACTTCTTACATATTCTGGATTTTTAATAAATATTTTATGGACACTTTAATTATACGATCCGGCCAAATGTGGATGACCAAATCGTTAAATGTTGACGATTTAATGATCTGGTCAAATTAAGTTAGCCACATCATGAAATGTGACCATTTCATGAAATTCTCGAGCATTTCATGAAGTGAGCAAATTTACGATATGGCTACGACATATATAAAAAGCTTTGATATTTTGGTAGTCACGTTGTAGTAAGAGTGGTTGTTTAACATTATTTGTGGTGGACACCAACATTTATCTATTTTCGTTTTATATTTACATTATATCTTTGGTGCCTGCCTCAACATGTTTTCCAAAAAGCGTGAATGGTCGTAATGTATTATTAACAAAGATTATAACACACTACGGGTGTATACCGTAATATATACCAGTATACTGGCCAGTGCTAACGACGTCATGAATCGACGCTATACTGGTGAATTGTTCCGAAATATGCTGGCCAATGCACTGACGTCATAAATCAACGAAATATTAAAAATAGTGCGAATAAAGATTTTTATTCACCTCATCTATTAAAAGGAATTGTTTTTGTTCGGATGCCATTATTTTTCTTTAAATAAAAAAGAAATAAAATTCGAATGCATCTGACGCACGCTCGGTCATACGTCATATTCGATTTCCCGGTAAAATATGGTAGCATACCAGTACAATATGGCGTCGGATTCGTGACGTCATTACCACTGGCCAGTATACTGATGTATATTTCGGAATACACCCTACATTTCATTACTTATCCCGACTAAAACAAAAACGAATTTTTTTTAGCAGCATCCCCTTTCATTTAAACGAACTTTTTGTTTTGAAAAGTAATTGCATGACCTGTTCTATTTTATATTTTAGATAGATTTTTTTATTTTTAGGGGCTGTTGTATGAACATCATACCGCAAATGTCTGCGTAACTATCGCCACGAAAGAATTACATAGATCTGCAAAATAATGTTTTAGAACATAATATATTTTATGAGAAAGTAAAAGGTAAGGTATCCAGCTAAATGTAAACAGTACGTAATTTTTGTGAAAGGGAAAATCTAATAAAGTACTTAAATTAATTAAAATGTTCGTCGACATCGTCGACACAGTCATGGGGATACCGGTGGAAAATATTTCAGCTAATTTGATTTTTGAGAACTATAATGAAGTTACCGAAAGGATACTTTTCTCCATACAACTCTGACCAATCTTGTACCTCAAGTATTATGTATTATGCATTTATGTGTATAAAAATACGCAATAAATTATGTCATTAAAAATTTGAATGTATTATCCACTTCTTCCGCATAAAAATGTCGTTTAAACCTTTCAAATCACAAATTTAATGGCAACACAGACAAATATGCATCTCTGAGTTAATTAAAATAAGCTACGAAAATCATAAAAAATAAACCTGATCGGCAAAAGCTTGAATAGTTATAACAAAAAATTATATTACAGGGATATCAAAATATGTACCTACATATAAAATGACTGTCATATCCACAGTTACACATGAGAGTATATAATACACTAACGGCCCTGCTACACGCTCCGTCTAGCCTGCGCAAACGCGCAGATAAGACCGTGTGTGTTGGCTGTAAGGCTGTAGCTCGCGCAGGCCAACAAACGCAGCTTGAGCGATCGTTGACATACTAAAGATTGGACTGCGCAAACTTGACTTGCACCAATGATGTTTTATAGTTATAGATTGGTCATACATGCTCCAGAGTGGCAATGCGAAAGTCAGGCTTCAGTCCGCATTCAGTTG